AGCTAAATAGCTTGTTAGCCATTAGCTTGCTAATAATTAAATAATATAAACAGTCTGTTTACAATATTTTCTACTTTTACTGAAGTCATGAAAAGTTGGTAACATTTGACTTATTTTTATAAAGAAATTTTAAAAAAATCAGGAAATATTTAACACTATTAACATAATTATACTCTAGAAAAAGTACAGTGGGATCAAACAGTTTTTTCAAGAGAAATTGAGTCAATAAGAGTTGTTTTCTGCCCAGAAGTGCCTGGTGGTAGCCACTAGGAGAGCCAGTTCACCTGGGCCCGGCATGCTCTCCTGCTGCAACAGCTCATTGGGACCGGGTCTGGAGATGAGTGTGGGGCTGCAGAGCTCTCACTCACCCTCAGGCGCCTCTGCTCCCTCACTGAGATGGGGGTTATCCCCAGGTTTCAGCCCAATGTATTTTTGGTCAAATTTTGACCATGTCTGTAACAATATAATTTAAAAAAAAAAAAAAAAGAGAATACAGAGGTACACATTCCGTTTTATCTGTCTGTTTCCCTTGATCTTGGTGGAGGGAGGGGAGCTGCTTGCTAGTCAAACATTTACCCACTAGCAAAGGTTGGTAAACTCTGTCACAAACAGTGTGCAAACAGGGACACCTGCCTTTCTGTAAGGAAGGATGCTGAGGGTCACCCCCTTTCTATGCTGCTGACTGGATTCAGCTCCTGTGCTGTTTCTACCCAACCTGACTCCCTTAGTTCTGTCCCCACTGGTGCTGCATCAATTCATAATTGACATTACTGGATAAGGCTGCTGTGGCTTTAGAGAACAGCTCTTAGCACTGGGATGGAACCTTTTCTTTGCAGTCAGTGGAACAGGCAGGACGCACACTTGCAAAAGCAATGCCACCGAAATGCAGAGAAGTTCATGCATCTGTGGACAGGAAAGAAAAGAAGGAATTTCACGCATTTCTTGATTTCTAAGTTCCCTGAGCTGTGCTGCTATAAAAGATGCCATAGGTCTTCTTACATAGTGCATAACACTATGTCATCTTGCAAAGAAGAACCCCCATTTTTTAGAAAAACTTGCTTTGCTTCAGCCACTTTCAAGCTAGTGATGATTTTCAGGATTTTTCTCTAAACAGACTCTCCACTTCTGTGAACATGTAAGAATATTTATTCCTCTGGTCATATCAATTCTTTCTACAATTGAAATTTCAACCCAAATTCTGTTCTACTTAGTATAACAGTTTTTCTGCAGTGTTAGTGAACTGAAGTAATCAGATCTTTCAGTGCTGCATAGTCTTTCCAGATTAGATGATGCTTCAGTCCCAGCTCTTTTTTAAAAAGCACTATTAAGACGCTGTTTTGAGAAAAGTAGAAAGATTTCTCTTAATTTCAGAGAGGACTTCTTTCCTCTGTGTGGGTTTTTTTTTTGTGTGTGTGTGTTTTTTGTGGTTTTTTGGCTTTTTTTTAAAGTAGTATAATCATTTACTCTAATGAAACAAGATATTTCCTTCCCTTGCAAAGGATCACAGAGAACCTGAGACCCCTTTGTTTATGGTATGTGACAAAATTAATAGCAAATCAAACAAGGAATGACTCTGAACTGGAGTGACTTCAGTGGCTGTTGGTGGAATTACAGTTCTCTCAGGGCATTTGGCATCATGGAGGACTAGGGACTCTGTGAGCTATTCCTCTCTTCCAGACCTGTGATGCTCAAGATTTTCACCTAGGATCTATTACAGCTTTCTAGTATATTGCCTTAATCGCAGGGTATATTCTTCTTTCCACTCTAATTGTGTGACTAGTATCCCACTGACTTGATGAGAAAGCTGGAAAAGCCTATAGATTACTGTGCAAATTAACGCAATGCCATATGGTTCTAATTGTACACTGTCTTGTTGTACTCTGCAGCAGCTAGAAGTAGCATTTGCTACTGATATAGCCATAACAACACTGTGTTCATATTAGTAATATACACTTACACAAAGAACATAAGGAAAATAGATAATAAAAATTATCAACAGATTTTTTAGATTACAGGAAATTCATGGCTGTCAGTAAAACATTAAACTATTACTGCTGTCACTCAGAGACATTTTTTGGTACTTGACAAAAGACACAGCTCAGTGTCAGTAACATGAGGTTCAGTCTCACATACTACATATAAAACGTGTAAATATTAATTCAAGGATGAAAGCATTCAGCTGAACAAGAACCATCTGGGAGAATGAGGAGGGTGGATGAGAATGCATTAATTATAGAGTAACATGTATATATTGGAAATCCATGGACCTGCTTGGCATGAAGAGCCTTTTCGTATCGATAATACAATACATTTCTAACTCCTTCTTGGACAAGTCTGCTTTCTGACCTCTGTTTGCCCCAGCAGGGATAACAGAGTGGCACTGTGGAGTGATCGTCATAGTTCCTCATCAGGCCAGTACCTGCACAGCTCTGGCTCCAAACCCTTGGATCTGCTTCATGCAGAAAAGTTTGAAGAATAATAATGTTTATAAGAATAATATAATTATTTAAAAAAATATTTCTGAAGAAACCAAGCATGAGATATTAGAATGCAGCACAGTGAATATGAAGTCACTGTTGCTTTCACTAGGGCTGGGCTCTGAAATGTAAGCAGGACAGACTTTCAAATATCTAAGCACCTACCTCCCAGCTCCTAGTATTTTCAAGAAAACTAGGTACCAATATCACTTAAATATCTTAATTTTTAGTAGTCTCAATTCTTCTCAAAATTAATATGAAGTTCAATGTTTTGTTCTTCCTTAGCAGGTACTGTGGGAAGGTAGATAAAAAGAGGAATTATATGATGCCAAATTCAACCCAGTGAAACGCTGGCCTCCTCTGCGTAGCTGAGTGCAAGGGTGCAAGAATGTGAGCACATATAGTCACCATTTCGCATATAAATATTGTATGATTTGAAACACTGTCATTTTGGTATAGCTTGCAACAGAAAATAAATCACTAAGTTCCCTATTGCTGTCCAGATATACTATACCTACAGAGAGGTACAGAAAGGAAATGTATTTTTATGTTGCTTAAACCACAGATCCTATTCAATCATTACCGCGTAAACTCTTTTTTCATCCCAAATTGCTAAACAGCTGTGTGATAGTAATTGGGAAGGAATTCTGTTATACCAAAAGCTGTTCATGCACAGGAGATCTCGGTTCAGTCCTGCCTTTGCTACTGAATTCCTGGATGGTTTTGGACAAGCCATTTAATTTGTGTTTTCCTCTGTAAAATGAAAATATATTTTTGCTGTCTTCTATTGTTTCTGGTTTTTGTTTTTAAGCTGTCATCTCAGGGAAAGATGCTCTCTTTAGATAGAAATCTAAATACAAGTGCCTCATTCGATTTGGCTTTGTGGTGCAAGTGTAATTCAATTAATTACTGTAAGAAATATGAACCTATTATGTATTATGCCCAGTATAATAAATACATAATTCCAGGGACAACCTGTGGCATATTTCTCTGCTGACAGCTTTCCTGGCTCTGTTACACTGTGTATCTGCTTTTTCTCCCGGAGGAATGCATTCAACACTGCTCCAATGATTGCAGTCATGCCCCTGTTCAGAAGCCTTTCTGCAGCTCTATTTTCACATGGATAGCTGGAGTCTCAGACTGACCAAAATCACAGGACAGAAGAGAATCTCCCCAGCTCTGTGCATGCAGCCTCTGTAGTTAAAACCCCAATGTTTCTGAACTGCTCTAGTCTGAACCACTGATAGATATTACTCGTGTTCCCACTAGGTCTATGAGATGCACAGGCTTTGCAGTGACATCTCCAATATGTGCCGAAGGAAGCATCCTCCGCCCCGCGGCAGCACTCAGCCTTGGCCGCCACCTTTACCCCCGGCTTTCTACAGCTGGCGCTGTCAGCGCTGCACCCACGCACCACAAAGCCACCCGGTGCCGCTGGTCTGCAAGCGATGCCGAGACACAGCCTCTGTTCCTGCGGCCACGGCACTTATGCCCGACGGCTGCGGCACCGACTCCTCGGGGAAGGTACCGTTCAAACGGAGAAAGGACGCTCTATACCTGGGGAAAGTGGAAGTGCTGGAGCTGCCCCCACAGGGAGCGCGCCCCTGGGCCACTCCCATTCCCCCGCTCAGCTTTTCAGGGCTCAGCGGATGCTTGGTTTGGAAACGACGAGCAGCAAGAAGGCAGAGCAGTTCAGTCAGCTCCGCCCTGTCGCTCCCGGGAGGTGGCAGTGTTCCCCCACAGAAGCCACTCGGCCCGCTCCGCTCCCAGACCGGCAAAGGAAGCCCTTTAAACTCCCTCTCACCCGTTTTCCACCGATTTACGGAAAATGGATTTATCGCGCGTGATCTGATCGGTAGAAGGCCAGGTGGGCTTGCGGGAGAGAAAGTTGCGAAGTGCCGCAGCACCGCCGGAACTACGCGATCATGGCATACGTACTTATTATACACGTGTATACCCATGTATGTATATATACAGGTATATCAATATACATGAGGCAAAGGATCTCTAAAGACGGGCATAGAGATGCACGGGCATCTCTAAACACGGGCACAGAGATGCATTTAGCCGCGGTGCCATTTACATTTTGCTCGTGCATTTGGGAGAGGTGGGTGGAAAGCCGCGAGGATGCGTGTCGGCCGTCCGTGTGCCACATTGTACCCGTATACGCTCACAGGCGCCCTTTTAAATCCTCCCTCCTCAGGGGACAGGTGAGGGATTCAGGCCTCGTGGACCAGGGCAGCTCGCAGAGGTGCTGCAGCACGGAGGGTCCGTAGGACATCCCCAGACCCGCAGCGGTTTCTGACGGACCGGCAGTCCCTCACGGCCCCACAAGTTTCTCTTCCCTGATCACCCGGTCTGGCTCTTTACCAAAAGCCTCCTTCCCTTCCCCGCAGGGGGAAGGTGAGCCTTCGCACCCCCCAGCGCGGCCCCTTACGCGCTGCCTGCCGGAGGGGGACCGCAGCATCCCCCGCGGCGGGGCTCCGGCCCGTGGGCTGCGGGGCGGGGCAGGGCGGCACTCACCTGACGATGACATACATGACCAAGAAGTTGCCGAAGAGCCCCACGACGCAGACCACGGAGTAGAGGGCCATGATGGCGATGGCCGTGAACACGGAGGGGCCGCCGCCCGCGGGCGCGCAGGGCCCGCCGCCGCCCGCGCTGCCATTGCCGCCACCGCAGGGCTCGGAGCGGTTCCAGCCCAACGCCGCCGCCGCCGCCGCCGCCGAGGTGTTTCCCCAGGCGCCCGGCGGCGCGGCTGTGCAGGGCGGCCCGGGAGGGCGGCAGGCAGAGGCATTGGCGGCGAACGGGACCTCCAGGGCGCCGGCGAGGAGCGGCGCGGACCCGTTGCCCAGCAGGTACGCGGCAGCCATGGCGCGGCCACCTGCTCCCCGCGCCCGAGGGACGCGGTGCCGGCGCGGAGCTGCTGGCGCGGTGTCGGGGAGGTGGCGGCACTCGCCAGCCCCGACGGAGCGCCCGCCGCTGGGTGCGGGCACATGTGTGCGGCGGGCGGGTCGGGGCGGGTCGGGAGGAGGGGCCTGTGGAGGCAGGAGCGGTGGGGCCGCCTGCCCGCCGCCCGTCGCCGCTCCTCCCAGGCCGGCGGGGCACGGTAGCGGCCGCTACCCCGCCCCGCCGGAGCGGAGCCCCCCCCCCGGGGCGCACCTGGTGCGGAGCAGGCGTAGGGCAGCGGGCGGCGCGCCAGCAGGCTTCCCCTTCCCTGCGGGTGGCACTTGAAGGCAAAGCGCTTAAAATGCTCCCTACAAGAGCGCCGCGGGCATCGGAGGCAAACACCGGAGAGAAAGTCCCGGGGAAGATTGGCTTGGCGGGATAAAGGCTGGTGCGAGGAGGAGATCAGTGCGCTACTGATCAACGTAGTGATCCAGGGATCTTGACAAAACGATGTCCTCAGTGATTATAGAGATAACTGAGCCGTGTAATAAAATGTGATGAACTTTACGGCAACACGAGGGGTGATTGTGAATAGAATTGTCTTTTGGAAGTGACTCGGATCTCACAGATCCTCAGGGTATTCAGAGAACTATCTGTGCCAGAGCTGCAAGGATGGTCTCCCATAGATGTTACTGTGATTCTAATAGGGTGCGATAACACAGATAAGGAAAACATCAGAATCGTTCATTTCAACTGCACATGCATTGTACTGGGTGCTTGACTCGCACACTGCTTGTTTGCACCAGCACCTTTCTGTGATCAGTTTGTGACAGGTGAGTACAGAGGTGCAACTCCAGGTTTGCCTGCTGATCATTAGTTACTAGAACTTAGCTCCTTAACTGTTATTTTCACTAATGAAATCAGAAGAGAACCTTGGTAACACAGGAAAAATACCTTCTAGTGAACAGGAAGGAGTTAAGAGTGGCAATGATTGCTCCTGCTGCCTCATCATGGACGCACACATACTGTATCTGCTCAGCCTCTGCAGAGCAACGCCCCCCCCCCCCCCCCCCACCCCGCCCCGCTACTTCAAGAGTGGTAATGACAGAAGTGGAGAAGAAACAAGTTGCAACCTAACAGAAGGATGCAAAATCCCAGATGCAAAATCCAGTCTAAAGACTTCTTGTCCTCCTGTGCCACAAGCAATGGGAACCAGTGCTGATGAGGGCAGGTAACAGTAGCAGAGCTGACCACACACTCCTTCATTTGTGGGGAGGAAGAAGAGGGAATGGGAAAGGGGTGCCGCTGGACTTCGAGAGGGACACAGATCTGGGGAATTTGTATTCCTTTTTTCATTCCATAGTGGAATGAAAGGAGAAGATTGACTAAGCTGTTAATGGGCACATTTAGTAGATAACATGTATTGCTTTATGGCCAGAGAGCGCATTTTCAGCATCCTTTATTGGTAGGAGAGAGCCATTTAGCATCACATTCAGAAGAGCTTTAGAATAGGAGTTATTTTGTCTCTGGAAAAAAACTGTGGACAAGGGGAAATGAAAGCAAGAACTCACAAGAGATTTCGCATGGTCAAAGTCACTGTCTCTTTATCCCCACCTGAAGTATAGCATTTTTAATCCTACACAGAGTGGGACGAACAAGGCTTTAAAACTAGACCATTCTCAAAGACTTTCATCTCTGGGTATGTGCACAGTGTGCAGAAGCCTCTCTCTGTGCTTGCCCTTTGTTGCACCAAAGCCATAAGAAGAGTTTAATGTAAGCCTGGACACAATTAGTATTTAGCCCTTTGAATATAACTGGACCTGGCTGTGAAAAGGATGGGGAAGATGGGGTACAAAAATCAAGGTTACCAGTATATCCACTCCGTACACTGGCCTCTGCATTTCTTCCCATTAGCTACCACCATTTACCCTACTCTCTTATTTGCCTGGCTAGCTCTTGGGCTTCTTCTACCAAAATCCACACAAGTATTTTCTAGGATTTGAGAGGCTTGGGTAGGACTGTGGTGTGCCTTAGTAAAGGGGAGATGGACGGGTGCTAATGGAGTCAAAGGAAAACCAACTCATTTTAGGTGTCTAGTACAAGTCAGTGTCAGAGAGGTTACATTTGAGGCAGGTCACTGGTCTAGCATAGCAGGGCTTTGCCTTTGCTCTTAGAAGTGTTTAGCTGTGAGGGAACTAGGTGCTGACTTGGGGAAATGAGAGTTATCCTGACTTCTGGCATGAAATCTGTGTGCATGTCATTTAAAGTGGTATGTTTAGAGTTAACTTCTTTCTTCTCTATAGTAGATATGCAAGAACTGAGTTTGGAAGTGAGGGACACCAACAGCCTGAATGGCCTGGAAGGCTGCTATGAATTCTGGGACGCTAGGAATATGTGACATGCTTGCTACAGTATGGGTCCCTAAAATTAATTGAATGCTTTAACAAATTTGATACTAAGTTTTTTGCCTCATTTTCTAGCATATGGATAATAATAATCACAACAACAACAACAATAATAACAATAATAATAATGTATTGATAAATCATGTGTGAGGCTGGTCTTCAGTCAACTATCTTTGTGGAAAGTATAAGTTTCTGTATTCAGCTTTTTTCTTCTTTCAGAAAAAAAGTCTCAGTAATTTGCATTACTTCTGTATTAGTGACCCAGGTCACCTGTGTCTCCTTGCTAAATTTTGGCAGTGACTGCAGGTAAGGGTAGTCTGCAGAGTGGCAAATATTAAATCCATTAGTTGAAAATAAGCACTTCAGGCTTCAGCATCTCTGAGTTCTTCCGTACTCGTGAAAATAAAATGTATCTTCAAAGTTTAATAAATGTAGCTATGAATGATAGCTTTTGTGTTTGCATAACAAGTTTGAAGGGCATCAGTGGGACTAGGCTGATGGGTGGACTAGATGAAGGTGTCTTCCAACCTTGATGATTCCGTGATATAGACTGACTTCCTAATATGGCAAGGACACAAGGCAGGTTCATTAGGTTTTGTTAAGGACTTTATTAACAGAACTGTCCTTGAGAAAGCAATAATTTTGCTTTTGCTGAGTGGGAGCTACATATTGAATGAGAAGAATGAAAGGTGTTCTAAAAAACTACTAGTGTACTGAATGACCTAAGAGTCTAGAGGAAGTTAGCATGTGATATAATTAAACATTATGGTAAGGGGAACACGTCAGTTCATACAATCTTATGTTTTCTAACTCTTGGATATTTTGACTCTGCAAGTTTAATTCTTGGTCATTGGTTAGGCTTTCCAAATCCGGTAGTTCAACACAGGGGAGACTGCTGCGGCTCTGTGTCCTCGGGTCCAACTAGGAGCAAGACTGAGCTTGTATTCCCAATAGTCATGCCTGCAAACACCTGTATAGGACCCACATATAAACTTATGCACACAGCTGGCCACATAGATCAGCACAGGCAGATACTCAGCACTAACAGAAACACAAACAGCACCAACAGCCTTATCCTGTTCCCTTCTAGATGTTCAGGATGAGAGTCTGCTAGTTGGAACATATATATACATATACACCATATGGTTCTCTTCAGTGAGCATCTGGGATCAGACAGTCTGCCCAATAGTTGCTCCCTGCATCCCAGCTGTTTGCACCTGAACACAGAAGCCCTGAAGCCACAGTACCACACCAACACATACACGGGGGACACACCAAGGCTCCCTTGGAATCATCCATAGAATCAGTGTACCCAGTAGCTGACCTGGATCCCTCCCTTTTCCTGCCTGCGATTCCTCGCTTTAGCATTTCATGATACACTTTTGTGCAATCCCAAGATACTCCTCCCCAGTATTCCATTTTGTTTAATGAAATTAAATAATGCAATGTGGCAAAATAAAGAGATTGATTCTTGGGGTGGAAGAACACTAGTGAAACCTCTGCAGAGTGGCATGGTGATGTCTGGCTTTTTGATTTATTCATGCTTTTATTTTGAGAAATAAATTAATTTCAAAATCAAAAGGAGAGAGAAAATGAGGGAAAATGTTGATTAGGTTTTTGAGAATTTTACAATGTGTGTTTTGCTTAATTTTAGAAATAGTTAAAAGTTACAGAATTTAAAATCTGTAACTGAAAATAAGTTCTACTTATTTTCAAATGAGGAAATAGCCTCAAATTGCTCCTGTGTGAAGTGTGAGCTTATGATTCTTTCCATAAACCTAACTGGGGGATATTGTTGTCTGACATGTTTATCAAATGTAACATTCCATTGCCTCTACCTGCTTACATTTCCAAAACTTTTTCCTAGGCATCTTTTATGGATGTTTTTTAAGACTGCATTATTTACTCCATCCTTCAAACTCATGTCCTGTTCTTTCAAATACTTCCTTGTCTCTTATTTCCTCTGCAGCTCTTATAAGTGATAAGATATACATTTTCATCTACAGAAGGGAAATCTGTCCTTTGTAACTGTAATGATATAATTACCATCATTCATGTTCCCATATGACTACTCTTAAGTTGGAATAACTGGAAGTTATAAATAAATGGATATTTTAATTCTAATTATTCTTACATATAAAAATTTAAAATTGTCAAAGGTAGCGCATATCTTGGTCAACAGCGGCTGTCCAAGCACAGTTTGATCTTCACATTGTATGTTTATAGGATGGTTCTCATACAGCCACCTGTTGCACCAGTGGTTCAGACCTGAATGTATCATCAGTCATAGTGTGCATGTTCACCTGGTTCTCTGTGTCTTCATCAATTCTGTTCTTCAGCTGCCGTACAAGGGAGAAGATAGGGGTCCACTGCAAAGAAAAAAACTAACCTGTCTCTCAGTACTTGTGCAAATGCTTAGGATGGTGCCACTTTCCTGGATTGTAGACATCACAGAATGGCTGAAGTGAGGAGGCCACTCTGGAGATCATCTAGTCCAATAGCCCACTCAGACCAGGGACACCTACACAGAGTGCTCAGGGCTGTCCTATTAGGTTTTGAATAGATGGAGACTCTACAACCTCTCTAGGCAGCCTCTTCCAATGTTCAACTACACACAGAGTAATGAAGCTTTTTTATGTTTAAATAGAATTTCAGTTTGTGCCCATTGTTGGCTTCATCCTC